CACACACACACACACACACAATTCAATTCATATTGCTTTATTGGCATGACATACTTAAGTACATTATGCCAAAGCATTGTACATAGCAGAACAAAAATACACATACTATACATCCATAAACAAACAAAACAAATATATATACAGTATATTTATATAAACATTGATGGTACTACTAATGTAGATGTGTTCACTCTTTAACTCTTAGTTTGTGGCATTTATAAATATAATGTGCTACCAAAGAGGAAGCAGGTCCTTCACCAAGTAATATTCTTAACTTGTGGTTTTCATGGAGCGACTGGAAGTCAGGAATGCTCTGCTGTATTTGACTGTACAGTGAGGCTCTTAAGGAGGTGTATTTGTCACAGTGAAGGAGGAAGTGCTCCTCCGTCTCTACTGATCCTGATCTACATTCAGCACAGATGCGCTCTTCTTTAGGTAACCAGCTGTTTTTATGTGCTCCTCTCTCTATGGCCAGCTGGTGGTCACTCAGTCTGTACTTGGTCAGTAAGTGTCTGTGTGTTATATTCCTGACTGAGAGCAGATAGTCAGCCAGACTGTACTCTCTGTTGAGTTTCAGATAACATTGGAGACGACTTTGCTCTTTGGTTTGTTCTTTCCAGTGCTGGATGTATGTCTCCTTCTCTTCATTCATAATGTCTTTGATTCTCCCGTGTTTTTCAGGGTTGGTGATATCGAGTGCTTTGTTAGTCAGATCTGACACCATTACACAGAGATGACTTTTTTGAGCACTTCTTTGTCCAAATTCTGATAGTCTCTCAGTGTTGGGGGTAACTCATTACAAGTAACGCGAGTTACGTAATCAGATTACTTTGTTCAAGTAACTAGTAAAGTAACACATTACTTTTTAATTTACAAGAAAATATCTGAGTTACTTTTTAAAAAAAGTAACGCCAGTTACTTTGTTTTCCCATTTATTGCCTGACAGCTCTCCTGTCCCCATGCTGAGAGAAATCAGACGCGCTGTGTGAACCTGATGCTACTGTAGTTCTAGACTAAACGTGAATGTGCATTAATTCATCCCACTCACAAAAAACAGATTTAGTATTCATCAAAGTGAATTAAAGGGGTCACATGATGCTTTTTTAAAGATCATTATTTTGTGTATTTGGTGTAACAGAATATGTTGACATGCTTTAATGTTCTGTGTGTGTCTGTGTGTGTGTGTGTGTGTGTGTGTGTGTGTGTGTGTGTGTGTGTGTCTCTCTGTGTGTGTGTGTCTCAGTGTGTGTCTCTCTGTGTGTGTGTGTGTGTGTGTCTCAGTGTGTGTCTCAGTGCGTGTGTGTGTCTGAGTGTGCGTCTCTGTGTGTGTGTGTGTGTGTGTGTGTGTGTCTCTGTGTGTGTCTCTGTGTCAGTGTGTGTCTCTCTGTGTGTGTGTGTGTGTCTCAGTGTGTGTCTCAGTGTGTGTGTGTGTGTGTGTGTGTGTGTGTGTGTGTGTGTGTCTGTGTGTGTGTGTGCGTGTGTGTGTCTGTGTGTGTGTGTGTCTGTGTGTGTGTGTGTGTGTGTTTAATTATGAACTTCTCATGAGTTTTGCACTTGTGTACAGCAATCATCTCGGTCCCGTGTATCTGCACGTTTGTACATATTGCTCTTTACATGCTCGTTTTATACATTGTTTTAAATAAAGCCCTTTTTTATCTATAAATCTGATGCGGCATAAGTTCACGCGAGATCCCCGGAGTGTCTTTATGTAGAACTTTAATATATGAATCCTACATTTACAGTATGTATGGGTTCACAATGGAAAACAACGCTTTTTTCTTCTCTCGGGGGTTTGTTTATTTAAATGTATTTTCACAGTTATTGTTTATTATGATCATCAGTGCTGAAGCGTCGCGTCTGAGTTTGATCTCCATAGCAACGCGACCAGACGCGCGGCGCGGGGAGTTTCGCTCGGGCTCCGAACCGAACCGAACCGAACCGAACCGAGGGCTCAGCATGTCGCGGGGGGTTCCGGGTGAGTGTGCGTCTCGCTGCGGGTTCTGCTGTACTGCGCTCTCTCATGCGCTCTCTGCTTCTACTTCCAGATTTCCCCGAGATAACGAGCGACAACTTTGTGAGTATCGGCGTCACGCGAGCCAGTCGCGTGTTTGTGTTTCAATGTGAATGAATCCCGATCTGCCGTGACTGATCGATATATCGATTGATTGGTTGATCGATCATGTGCTGTGATTGAACAGGAACAGAGTCTGTCATCTGATCAGAGCTTCGCGGAGTTCTTCAACGACTTCCTGCTGCTTCCGGTGAGACGGACTAGTTCCACTGACCGGTGCTCGAGAGTTATCGGGTTATAATCGATCTAATCAATCGAGATCTTCTCAAAGCAGCTCTAATATGCAGGGCCCTTCCCCGGTTCCGATGTTTCCCTTTTAATCTCTCTGAACGCGTTTTTAATGGTTAAATAAAATGTAATTAATCAAAAAGTATGCCTAATTATTTAAAATCAAAGCTTAACAAAAAATTAAAATTTAGGGCCTGTGAAATGTTTTATTTTCACACAAATTCCGTTCTATTTTTTTTCTAAATATTTTTTTTTCCCGTTTATATTTTTCTAGACTCGTTTTTAATGGTTAACATTTATTAATCAAAAAGCATGTCTAATTAAAATCATGAAACTTATACAATTTAACATGAATATATTAAAAGTTTAACAAAACAATCACATTTTTATGGCCCTATGTAATGATTTATTTTCCTTGTTACCGAATTCTGTTTAAGCATTTATTTAATGCATAAAAACAACTTAATTTATTAAAATGTATTTTACAATCGCCCTATAACACGTTTTTTTAAAAATTCTGTTGTGTATTTTAATTTTTCTGGTTATCAGATGAAGACATAAATCAGTCATTTAGCTATTTTATCTTTCAATTTGGCAAACAAAGGGCTTTACTATTAAAATTAAAACATGGGAATAAGTGTTAATAATTTATTAGTAGTAGTATTACATATTGCTTTTATAAAACGGTTATATACGTAGTAAGGTTTCACAAAATAAAACAGAGCAAATAAAGTGTAATGATATTAATAAACACAGTGTTCTTCCACCAAACAATGTAGCTCCTCAGAAACAGTTGTGGTTGCTACAAAGTAGTTGCCGAGCAACACACAAACGTAAACAAAGGTGTGTGTTACTTTGTAGCGTCATTTATAACAGCTTCGAACGCGGCTCAGCCAATCAGAGCCAAGCACCGGAACTCTCCGCTTTATAATGACATTTTGTTCTTTGACTAAAAGAAATTCTACGAAGGCCTCAGTCACAGTAAATAAGCGTTCTGCTTTGATGCATGGTTTACCGTCTGTGCTCCGGCTGACTGGGCTCTGTGTTTCAGGTGTTCGCCGTGGCTGTGAGGTATGATGGGATCTCTGCAGGCTTCGAGCTGCTGGATCACACCGCTGTCTGTCTGTCCCGCCGGATCAGAACCGCTCTGCGTGAGATCCGGTCCAGAACTCTGTCGGACCCGAGCTGGGTCCCTGCAGAACCCCTACGAGACAACAGCTACAGCGTCACTGTACGGCCTGCTTCACACGCACACGCACACGCATGCATTCATCTCCTGTGTTCTGTGACACGAGAAGCTCATGACTCTTCCTCTGCAGCGTCTGGACCGAGCTCAGACCGTCCAGTGGCTGAAGAGAGACAGACTGCCGTTTTTCCTGCAGAGCGACTGTTATTTTGAGTTCAGGTGGGAGTATGTGATGCATGTGGATGTCTAGTGTGCTGATGCTGGTGTGTAATGTCTTGTTTTCTGCACAGGTTGGCTAAATGTCTGTCTCAGCTCAGCGGTGCTTCATCCTCTCAAGCGCTGCGGTGTGCTGAGGTGTGTTCCATCATAACCTAGCGCTACAGAAGCCCCAGCATCTTTAATCTGAGCGCTGGTTTGAGGAGTGTGTTCTGGTGTGTTTGCAGTGCCGGCTTCGGTCTGCTCGGCGGTTTGGCAGCTTCTCAGAGGAGATGGACAGCAGCTTCATCTCTCCAAACACTGAGCGATCAGAGCCGGCCGACTGCAGCACAGCACACGGTAGGACACATGTGAACGGTCAGTTCCTCACCGGCTGCTTGGAGACGGACACAACGCAAGAAAACCTCCGGACTATACGCCATGAATGAGCTGAGAGCTCAGCTGAATCAAATACATGTGAACATGTGAACTTTGCAGTTACTGACGTCCACTCCAATGAAGCATATTTTGTGATGAACTTGAAAATATATTGCTATTATACAAATTAATGCTTTTATATTTCTCCATCATTTTCAAATGAATAGCAGTCGCAGTGCTTCATGAGATCGTAGTTCTTTCCCTCACTAAACTTTTACTTTTATTTACGTTTTTGCTTTAAATCAAAGTTTGTAATGTCGTGATTCTCCTCATAGCTGGTTGGTTTGCTTTATGGCTTATAACGCTTTAATGAAGACTCGTTTATAATCCCTATGGGAAAAATGAATGTGAAAGAGCTGCTTTACAGCTGAAATTGAGTTTGCTTCATAACTGATGAATTAGCTGTGTTACTGTGTTGTTTGTTACTGTGTTGCAGGAGTCGCTGTGATTGATCAGGTGTTGTTCTGTCGCAGGTCGTTCCCGATCCAGCTTTCTGGAGTTTAAGAGGTCTCTGGTCGGCGGACCGGGAGAGAATATTCTTCATCTGTGGATGGATGTCGAACGGCTGAAAACACTCAGCACAAAGACCAAGAGCAGGTTACAATCCTCTAACTAACCAACCAGCCCTTTACCAACCATCACTACTGTAACTAGTACAGTACTACACAGAGCTAGTATGAGAACCCAAACGCTTCCAGCCACATAAGCTTGAATCCAGGCAGTGCCAGTGTGCTCAGGTGTGATGTGATGTAACACACTCACACTCACACACACACACACACACACTCACACTCACACTCACACTCACACACACACACACACACACACACACACCCTCACACACACATCACCACAAGCAGCCTCGCTCGCACGCAGTCACAT